TACACCACCACACACACACACACACAACACACACACACACACACACACACACACACACACACACACACACACACACCACACACACACACACACACACACACACACACACACACACACACACACACACACACACACACACACACACACACACACACACACACACACACACACACACACACACACACACACACACACACACACACACACACACACACACACACACACACAGATTGAGAGAGAGAGAGGGGCAAGCAGAGAGAGAGAGAGAGAGAGAGAGAGAGAGAGAGAGAGAGAGAGAGAGAGAGAGAGAGAGAGAGAGAGAGAGAGCGGGGGGGGATTGAGAGAAATAAGTCGACCCATTCACCATGTTTCTTGCGAGCCTATTGTTCACAGAAGAAAAATATTTATTTTTTTGGCTTGGTAAAGCAACGGAATTAGGAAACAAGGAATTAATTGGACATGGAACAATAGTTCTTGTGAAAAATCGTTAAAATTAGAAAGATCGATTGCCTATTCCTCCGTGGAGTGGTGTGCTTGGGGATTTTTTTTTTTCTCTCTCTCTCTCGGGACCATGGTTATTTATATTTGTATAAATTGCCTTCATTGCTAGACCATCATGGTTTGTTTTTTAAATTCATGAAATGTTTAACGAAGCTCAAATGGAGGTACCGAAATATTAAGGGCTAGAGTGTAGGAAATGGGAAGGTACTAGGAGCGGGGGGGGGGGGGGGTCTCGATCTTATCTCACTTTTGTTTTTCTTTTATCTATTTTTCATGATATTGATTTATAATAAGGGGGATTAATTCTAGAATTTGATTTAGTTAGTATTAAAGAATAGTCCTTAGTTTTCTTATGATTATAGCTAGGATATCACATATCACCATAAAATACCAGCTGTTTATTTTTTCTGTCAGGAATAAATTCAAGCCACCCCGCAAGACATTAAAACTGCCAAGTCATGCAAGTCGCATTGAATTTGTCATTTGATTTGGAAGGTTTTCTCAGGGTTCCTGTCACATGACCTCGTTTTCAGTGATTGCCTTTCGATATGAACTTTCCGTACACAAATGAACTGACTGACCCTACCACGCTACCCAGACAGCAAACATGTGCCATTGCAGACACAGCGCCAATTCATGAATATCATTACAGAAATTTACCGAGGAAACAAATAATCAGAGAGGAAGAATATCCCTTAACGACCTAATGAAATTACCTCTGATAATTTGTCATTAGTCAGCACATTATACCTGAATTCCCATCCGCACTCTGACGTTACTCATGGCTATGTCATCATTTTAGCCTCTGCTGGAAACTCCGAGTCTTGCCAGGTGGTTCTTCTGATCGTCATTCTCACTGGCCTAACAGTCACCTTCCTCTCTCAAGTCTACAAAGGTGACAGAAGACAAGAGCTGGACCGATATCTCTCAGTAAATGGCCAAAAGAAATTCGCTTTGGTCCAAATTCCTCCACCTAAATGAGGGCGAAATGCGTGGCTCTTGGTTAAAAGAATGATCCTCCCCCACCATTAGAGTTGGGCAGCTCCGGGATACATATAGATCAAGAGGATGTATGCGAAGGCCGCTGATAGTTCGCTGGATACTGATGGCACCCATAACAAGGTCACCTATGAATTGCGTGGTTAAGGCAATGTATTGAAAGTCAAGGTATTTAACTCCAAATAATTACCTAAGATCTTTGAAAATTTAGGGGGGGGGGAGATATCTAGAGTATTCATTCAGGTCTGGTAGCCAGGTGAACACAAATCTAGCAGTGAAGGCTCTCTTAACTAACGTTACCAGCACCTATAATGTTAACAGTAATATGATGGTGAGAATAACTAAGTTTATGACGATCGTCAAAGTTCATAGACCAATGAGTAACCTGTGTTTCAAACTTTTCAGAGTGAAAAAAACGTATTTGATAAATGAGCATTTTCTTATTTATTCATATATTCCCAAAAAATCCTTCATTCTTACAGATAATGCCTCAACCCTCTCCTTTCCCTCTCTCGCTTTTTCTTTTTCTATCTCTGACTCACTATTTCTCCGATTCAGTGTCTCTCGCGCCAGTTTTCAAATACCTATGTATCGGTATTGCCTTAGGAAATGTGTACCGATGCTCATCACTGCCCGCTATGTTCTGTATGCTAGTTCCACCTACAATGTTAAATGAGAGGGTTTCATTTTGATAAAGAAGGAACTAAACCTACAGTAAACACATTCACATGTATCCACAGATGGTTTTGAAGTGAAGAAGCAGAAAGCTGGTGAACAACCTAACACACCCACAGGCAAAAAGGTAATAAGCTTTAATGTGTGATCATTATGTAATTTTACAGCTTCCTTCTTGTAATGCTCACAAGAAAAGACCTGGTAATTTTTTGGATAACTTTAACGAAATGAAGGAGGGAACTTGTATTAATAGCATCTTTCCCGTCACAGCCCCGCCTCGGCAACCCTGACTACACATGATCTGAAGAAACCATGAAATGTGCATCGCCAAGCCAGACACAAGATTGCTCTTTCCTCAACTCGTTTCGACCTAGAGCTCCGTCAGTTTCAATGGATTCCCGAACAATATTTGCTTTATGTGTAACAAGGATGATGAAATGTAGTCGGGTGAAAGGTTTGGCTTCCATTTAATATAACAATGTAGGGCTGATAGAGAAGTTTGCTTTATGTTACAATGGCTTCGGGATTGTAAGAAAAAAAAATGTCTCTGCATTCTATGTCGCATATCTCAAGGATATGCTATCACCATGTTTTACATTAAGGATATGCTATCACATGTTTTACATTGGATATGCTATCACCTATTGTTTTATATTAAGGATATGCTATCACCATGTTTTATATTAAGGATATGCTATCACCATTAAGGATATGCTACATGTTTTACATTAAGGATATGCTATCATGTTTTACATTAAGGATATGCTATCACCATGTTTTACACTATCATGTTTTACATTAAGGATATGCTATCAATGTTTACATTATATGCTATCACATGTTTTATATTAAGGATATGCTATCACTATCATGTTTTATTAAGGATATGCTATCATGTTTTATATTATATGCTATACCATGGGATATCTATCACATGTTTTACATTAAGATATGCTATCCATGTTTTACATTAAGGATATGCTATCACCATGTTTTACATTAAGGATATGCTATCACTATCCCCCATGTTTTACATTATATGCTAATTTTTATAGTAAGGATATGCTACTAGTAAGAAAGATTGCCCAGGTACCTGCGTGGTCCTAGCTCGGACAGAAGCCTATTCTGCTACTTCCAACAAAGGCCAGCTGGTTATCTGGTTGTCCCTAGCAAAGGCGGGGCTTTTGCACAATATTAATACATAATATATAATACACACACAGCAAGATGAAAGTATAAACATTGTGTAACTGTACAATATAAATATGGAAGTGCCCCCCCCCCCCCTAGAAAAATCTAGACCCGCCCCTGTTCCCTTGCTCACAAAAAGTGCCAAAAGCTTCTTGAACTTACCATGTTTATGGTCTTTCCAAGTGTCAAGTACCTAAGCTTAACCTGTCCATATAAAAACTAACCCAAGGAAGCTGGTTAGCATGTTTGATTGATTCCAGATTCCCGTCAAGGACATGCTAACCCCATGTTTTATATGAAGGACATGCTAACCCCATGTATTATATTAAGGATATGCTAATCCATGTTTTATTTTAAGATGCTAACACCATGTTTTATATTGCGATATGCTTAAGATTGCCCAGGTACGTAGATGGCCCTAGTTTACACTGAAACCTGTTTTGTTACTTCCAAGAAAGGTCAGCCGGGTATCTGGTTGACCCTAGCTCACATAGAAGTATCAAGAGCTTGAACTTACTGTTATGTGTAGATTACATTGGCTTACTACCCAAAGCTAAATACAGGCTTTAGCAGTTCAGGAGGGATATTGCATATACCTGCAGCTTTCCCATCCTTCAGCTTAGAGATGGCCTCCCTAACCTCAGTTGGAGTAGGGGGATCATCACTGATAGATCACAATGTTTTATATTTTGGATATGCTAATAGTGTGTATCATTTTGTAAATGGTGGTGAATTTTATTTGTATCATTATGAATGATATTGGATTTTGTGTTATATTGTTTATGAGAAGGATGTATTCATTTTGAGAATTGTCAACATTTGAAATGTCCAATTTTATAATATTGTTAATAGTTTGTAAAGGAGGTTATAGAATTTAAGTTCTGAAGAAATTACATTGTTTAGTTATGGAAAAAGGCGCATTGAGAATTTCTTCTGCCACTAGGAAGCGTTGTTTACAATTCGAAATGAGCGGTACTTATGACGGGAAAGGCTAGATCAGTAGCAACTCGAGGTGCCATGGCATCTGATTCTATTTAAGGAAAAAAAAAGTACATGGGGTTTATTTTGATGACATCATAATTTACAGATACTTTGTGAATATGGTCGTTCATTTTGGTCTCTTCAATTTTCAAGAGGATGGAAAATAATGGTTTTAAAAGTGCTGTCACACTAGCACCTTTTCCGTCAACTTTTTGACAGTTTTATTGAACATAAATACAAACATTCTCGAATATAGCTCTTGATTTGACTATGCTTGGCTAAGAAAGTTGACGGAAAGGTTTTCAGACGGAAACGATCATTATTGTCTGGCTGGAAAATCGACAATTCGCTCAAAAATGGACAAAATTTCAGAAAATTGTAAAAAAAAATTGAAGGAAAAAGTAATAGTGTGACAGCACCTTAATGGCTTTATTTCCATTGAATAATCATCAAAACAGACGCCATGATACCTCGAGTTGCTACTGATGTAGCCTTTCCCCTTATGACTGCCCTCGGCATAGGAAGTCTTGAATTTGCCAGATTACGATTTGTAAATAACAGGTAGGAACGTTATTTGAATATATTTTAGTCTTGAGTATATTGATGATAAAATTGTGAATTTTTGGTGAAGTCTGGAACAATGATTTAATATAATGTGGGGATATATTGTGGAAATTTAAATGTCAGTGTCTGGGATATAACTATATGTCATAGTGGAAGTAAGGATGCATTTATATTTTACTAGCATTGTATTATGCTCAATTTATACATGATGATTTACAGACCGAGGTCAGGCTGAATTTGAGTGAGGTATGCAGCATTGTATTGTTACGTAACATAGACAGATTCCCAAGTGTAAGTGCCTCACACATCCCACCCTATATGGCAGGATGCTACATTTCTTTAACTGCCTGTCCCACTTGGCTCGGTGAGCAGCCTTTGACGGGTGTTTTCGCACTCAGGGCATTAAATGAAGTTGGCGGGGGTGAAGGACAAACAAGTAGCAATCCACGGTTTATTGGCGGGCCACAAAGTTTATTTGCAGGAACTAATCAATTCTCACCAGGGAAAGGCAGTCACCTCACACATACGCACAGCTTAATCACCTTATTCCGTCTCTGTTTCCTCCTTAGAGAGAGTAGCACAATCGAGATCGCAGCTACAGTCACGTACCGTCCCCGCTCTCTCAGATCTCTTCTCGAACAGCCCGCCACTCCCCTCTTGGAGCCAATCACGACGCCGGATTCTCGTCCCACCTTGCAGGCAGCCAATCACGCAACGGCGCGTTTTGGCGGGCTTTTTCATCGCCACGAACACACACATGATTATAATACACTTTTTGTAACAGTATTAATACCATCATTCAGGGGCAAGGTGCCATGATGTAAGTGAATTGATCTTGTATTTGATTATGTCTGTACTCTTACTGATATGGAATTAACTTTGTTGACAATATTTACTAGTTGGAAATCATTGTTTACAGGTTTTGTTAACTAAAATTACATGGAAACTACATCTGAATATTATTTTACTCGGAGTATTTTGAGCCATCCCTGAGTGATGAGAGCTGAGCGATACATTATGTAATCTAGGTATGTGGATGGCCTTAGATCACACTGAAACCTGATTTGTTACTTCCAAGGAAGGTCATCCATTATCTGGTGCTCCTAGCACAGACATTTGTGCATAGAGCTTCTTGAAAGTACCCTAATTATGGTCTTTCCAAGTGTCTAGTACCAAGTGTCTGGTGGTCCCTAGTTTACACATAGTGCATAGACCTCCTGGAACTTACCATTGACGTGGTCGAAGTGCAAAGTACCTAAGCTCAAGCTGGGTTGTATATGTCTGCTTGATTCCAGATTTTTGTCAATAATATACTTTCACCATTTTTATATTATGGATATGCTAATACCCAGGTATCACAATGACTCCTGTTTTGTTACTTCCAAGGAAGTAACTAGGTTGACCCTAGTTCACACAGAAGTGCCAAAAGCTTAAACTTAACATTGTCATGTTTAAAGTGCCTTAGCTTAATCCATTGGATCCGGATGCTTCACTGCCATCACGTGGCTAAAAATACAGGCATTAGGCTTACTTGAGCACTGACTGTGACAGATGTTTGCCATATAGGCTGGGTTACAAGACTGCAATATTTTCTCTTTTCCTGCATAAGCATTTATATATCTTATGAATACGTGAAGATCTACATTTATTCGACAATCAGAAGACGCGTTGGTTCTTATCGTAAAGATCTATGGATACCACCGAAGGCGTTTATTAACGTATTTTTATTTTATGAAGTATCAATGTAGCAAAATTTGGTGTTATAGCCAATCAAGTAAATTATAATGATCATCTATGAATGGCGAACAATTCCATGGGGGGGAAGGCAATCTGGATACCGTCACTGTCTGGTCAGACGACGCCAGTCTCTTGCCCCATGGACAAGTATGTCAAGTGCTAGTATTAAAGGTCGTGCTTTACCCAGATATTATAGACGTACTGCTGGATAAGTCAATTGGCTTCATTATAGAATCACTGTGTAATGAATTGTGATATTTAAGACATCCTGGTCTCGCCCCATGCATAAAGATAAGAGAAGTTTGAGAAGGGAGTGATCGATAGTTTAAATACAAGTAAAATAGTGAAATGATACCTTGTAGAATGGGGCGAGTGTCTCGATCCTGTCTCATGAATGTTTCTATGCTTATAATAATGCTCATTGATTTATAACTAGTAGGAAAAGAGAGGGTGCAGTGTTAACTTAGTTATGAATTAAAGTAGCAGTAGTGAGCACTCCTTGTTTAATCATAAAATGTGTATTGCTAAGCTTTGCATTGTGATATGTCACTTGTCTTTTGTTCATAGAATAAAAAGTTATTGGTTAAGAATGTTTTTTATGCCCATAGTATATTTGTCACAAACTCAGCAGAGGAATAAATTCAATCCACGCCACGAGCCTTAAGACCGTTAGGTTATGCTACCCATATTAAAATTAGCTAAGTCAAAATTGAGGCCTTTCTCGAAATTTCCTGTAATTCCAAATTCGTAGGTAAAGGCGGCTTTACCAAAGATGAAGCTTTAAAGTGCCTTTTTATGAAATTTAAGGCTTTTGAGTCTTATAAACTAAGCTTTTCCGGTCAAAGGTTTGAAAATATCTTAAATTTGCTCGCAATTCCGTCATTCGACTGGGAATCATTTGTCAACATTAGACCTTGACCTTTGCTAATCTCAACATATATAAATCGATTTCAAAGAAAAAAACAGGCACCATACATTTTTTCAAACGCATGTCTCTGATGTAAATAGGACTAATCA